TGTGTACGGAAAAGTAATACGAGTGGAAACGATGTGTAAGAAACTAGTGTAGAAAAACTTTTTGAATGGCGAAAGTTCTTTTCCTTGTCATGAAGTGTTGCTTCTAAATATCAGTTAAGTAAGAAATTTTTAATTTGTCTTAAGAAAAAGACAGCATTAAGTAAGAACAATAAGCAAAATGACCGACGAAAATTTAAATTGTTCAAAAATGTTTATTGAAATATTTTTGTTAAAAGTTCACATTTCAGATGTTGTGCAAGATATTCACAAATAGTGTTGATTTGTTTCCATTTAAGCGTTGGCGTTGGCCGAAGCACCAGGATATAAATCACTAACGCCAGGTAGATCAAGACCACGGAGACCACCGGAACCAACGAGACCATCGGGGAGACGTCCAGCAGTACCGTTAATAAAACTACTGATATTGCCAAGACCACCTGTAAGATCTTAGAGAACGATTTCAGCTAGGCACTCATTTCACACATCAATTATCCTTCACATACTTACTGCCAGGTAGAACAGGAACACCGAGTTGTGGAAGAGCAACACAAGCTCCAGCGAATAAAACAGCGATAATGATGAATTTGATTTTGATTTAGCTTTCAATTGACCTCTCTTAGATGAAGCTGACAATTCGAATGATTTTCTCATCGATTCGATCGCCTTTTATACACAATTTCCACCGACAAATCCAACCAGAAATTTACCACGAGCAAACAAAATGTTGCGAAATTCGACAAATATTTTGAACCATTTGACGCATTCAATTGGGCAAATTCAAAACAGGTTTTCAGATACGTTTTCAGTTGTTAGATCGATCTATTTTGCTTCGTTTGTTTTTCAAACCAATGAAAAAATATTTTTGTTCCTTAGAACCGTACTGCGATAAAAGCCTATATAAACAATGTTATTATATTTGACAATATTTGACTCGATGTCAATGACGATGTGGCAGCGCCACCTATAGAGATTCCTTATTAAAATAAGTGGAACTATTGAGTGCGTGCACCATATCGCACGTAAATTTTCAATATGGCAGCGCCCATAGAATTGAAAAGTTAACCGATTTCATAGTCGCAAATTATCGCTGTACGCTTAGAACTCAAGAAATAAACACAAGGCTAACAAACGTGGCACATGTGAGTGGCAATTGTTTGTTAAATAAAAAGAATTACATTCGTAATCCCGAACTTTTCCGTTGTCCGCACTTCAGTTAAAACTTCGACAATTTTGCATGGAAGGTACCCATAAATCGACTCCGATTAGCTCAAAACTTTCTGAGGTTTCATTTTTTGGCGAAAAAATGAGATTGTAAAAGACTCATGCTGATCGCATTGTCAAAAGTTTGGTTTTTGGCCCTCAATTTTTTACTTTTCCGTACACAACGTGTCAAGGGAAAGTATAGGAATTGGTC